TTCTTATATTACGCTGACAAAGCAGTTCTATATTTGCAAATGTTGCATTTTGCTTTATTAGATTACATTGATGTCATCACCGGATGCGTCGTTTATTGTAAGAAGTGCACTTTTGCACGTGTTGTATCGAATTATATTGATGATGTCCTTGAAAAAATTTCTTATATTACGCTGACAAAGCAATTGCATATTTGCTGACGTTACAATTTGCAGTATTAGATTACATTGAAGTCATCCTCGGATGCCTCTTTTATTGTAAGGGGTGCATTTTTGCACGTGCTAAATTGATGGTGTCATCGCGAAACATGTTGCGACATTTTCGCAAACATTGCATTTTTACTATTGTTGAGTGGGAACGAAAATATAAATACTGACGGGGATCGCGCAAAGTCAGTCTGTGCAAACATGGCTAACCGTAATTGCTCATCGCTCCCGCATTTGATACGCAATCGGGAACTCGGTTTCCGCAATGTTTTTAACACGCACTTGGTGTGCTAAACATTCAACACTTCGAAAGGGTTTACGACTATGATGAATTAGACGGTCAATGTAGACGATCAGAGTTTTCTACATGTTGTGCGGAAATATTTGGTGATATTCTTTCGTGGTATTGCACATGGGCTAATCGTATCTGTCGGGGTTATTATACCCCTTGCATGTGTGTGATTAAAGATTCTCAAATAATTTCATATGAACTATTCTCTAAAAGTGATGACGCTGAAGTAGAATATTCTCGTGTACACGGACTAATTGTATCTGTCGGACTTATTATACACCTCGCAGGTGTGTGATTAAAGATTCTCAAGTAATTTCATATAAACTATTCTTTGAAATTGATACATAAATTCAACATCCATCCTCGAAGTGCTATGGTAGGGGAAACTTTATAAAGAATTTGAGGCGGACTGCATCAGTTGCTCTGAAGACATGGACTCATACGTTCGACCGTAAGTATTTCACTTATATCTGCGGAAAAATTTTTTTCTATATTGTTTATTCGTATGTTTCCTACAGTGCACGTACCATTTTGAGGAAGGTGTTCGCGCTGACACCGACAGCGTACAAATTTCTGGAGATTGGGATCGCCGCGGGACCAATGTCTCAAGTGGAAATTGCGATTGGCGATATTCGAGGCAACCGTATCGTCCTGCCTCACGCTACGTGGATGGCGTTTATCGAAAAACGGTCGGACATCCAGCAATTGGTGCGGTCATCTACTCCGTCACCGTTGATGATTCAGGACCTTGTCATTGAACTTGTTAAAATACGTGATGTGGACAATGTGAAATTATCTTTATGTGACAAGTGTGTGTATATGAAACCATCGACTATACTTTTTATGCTTGAGCTCGAACAATGTGTTGAACACGCATATTTTGATTTATGTCAATATACAAATATTGTAAGCGATAAATAAGTCGCGGTAGAAATGATCGATATTTCGAGCGCCGACATCTGGCTGTTATTAAAAAATCGGTAATTGTATTTTTGTATATGAGACAAAAGGAATTGAAACATTCTAAGT